CCTCCGTGATACGGTCTGTGCCGAGGAGCGACCGACTATTTCTGCTAGGTGATTTCAACGCGCGCGTTGGGCGTGATCCATCGGTGTGGACAGAGGTTATCGGTGCGCATGGCATTGGTTCAGCGAATGCGAACGGTGACAGGCTGCTCTCACTGTGTGCCACTCACGGCCTGACGATCACGAACACTCCGTTTGCACTGAGTGCGAATGATATAGCAACCTGGACGCACCCACGGAGTGGTCACGCTCACCTGTTCGACTATGTCATCGTACGTCAGCGTGATATGCGTGAAGTGCGCATGAACATTTAACATTCTCTCCCTCGGCACTGTGGCGAAAAGTACTGAGCTGGAGAAGGCGATGGCTGCATGCCTGTGTGATGTGGAATTCATAGCCACAGTGGGCGACTTGTGGCACCACATTCGCGACCAGGTGACAGCTGATGCCGAGGAGACCATCGAGCGCAGAAACTGTAAGCGGCCTGATTGGTTTGATGAGAACAATGCGACAATCGGCGCATTGGTGTCAGAGAAGAATGCAGCATTTGCTGCACATGTTGCAGATCCCAGTGACTTGGTGAAGAAGAGTCAGTTTCACAAACTTCGACGGCGACTGACCCGAGAGCTCCGTCGCATAAAAAATGCATGGTGGACGGAGAAGGCGAAGCAGTTGGAATGCCACACCGAACGCCGTCAACACAAGAAATTCTTTGACTCCTTGAAGGCGGTGTATGGACCGAGCTTGGAGCCGCTGAGGACGCTGATCGATAGTAGTTCAGGCACTACCTGCACCGACTGCAGACATAATGCAGATCTGGAGGAAACACTTTGACTGTCTCTTGAACAACCGTTCAGAGTTCGACTGGCCTACTTTGAACGGCCTGAAGCAGCACGATGTGAAGGCGAATCTGGCAGACACGCCGACACTGGATGAGACGCAGAGAGCACTTGCTCAGCTGCGAAACGGCAAATGTGCTAGAGCCGACGGGATCCCACCGGAAGTATTGAAACATGGTGGACCCGCGTTGTTGACTGTGCTGCACCACTTGGTGCAACGTGTATGGATTGAGGAGGAGGTGCCTCCTGAGCTGAAGGATGTCCTTGTGCTACCACTGTACAAGGGCAAAGGTAGCAAGCAATGTTGCCCGAATTATCGTGGCATCAACTTGCTGAGTTGTGTGGGCAAGGTGATTGCCCGAATCCTGCTCAACCGCCTCTTCAGTCAGGTTGTGGAACCTAACGTGGCGGAAGAGCAGTGTGGATACCGTTCGAGTCGCAGCACTATAGATATGGTGATTGCGGCTCATCAGTTGCAAGAGAAGTGCAGAGAAGGACACCAGCCTTTGTACTCGCTTTTTGTTGATTTCACCAAAGCATTTGATACGGTGAACCGCGAGGCATTGTGGCTGATGTTGGGTAAGTTTGGTTGCCCGCGTAAGTTTGTAAGTTTAATTGAATGTCTGCACAGTGGTATGCGAGCAAGGGTGCAGCTGAGTAGAGAGACCTCGGATGACTTTGCAGTTGTCTCTGGTGTGAAGCAAGGCTGTGTCTTAGCTCCTGCTCTGTTTAATATATATCTTCATACAATGATGTCTTGTGTTTTTGATGCGGCTTGTGCTTACGGTGTTCGTGTGGAGCACCGTATTGATGGTGCGTTGCTGAACATCCGTCGTTTCGGTGCGAGAACTCAAGTCTGTGAGACAACTATCCGTATGTTGCTGTTTGCTGACGACTGTGCGTTGTTTTCACACAGTGCGGATGAGTTGCAGCATATGACTAGTGCTCTGGCTGCGACAGCGGCCAAATTCGGGCTCACCATCAACACAAGCAAAACTGTCTGTCTCTTTCAGCCTTCACCGGAGGTGCAATCTTCAATATTGCCGCGAATCAGCATGGGTGCTGAAGTATTGGAAACCACCTCCCGCTTGTGCTACCTTGGGAGTGTGATGTCGACTGATCAGCAGCTACACGTTGAGTTGCGTATTCGCGTGTCGAAGGCGGCAGCGGCATTCGGGAAGCTTGAGTGCCGAGTGTGGAACAACCGTCAGCTTAGCATTGGCACGAAGCTGATGGTGTACAAATTCATGGTACTGTCCGTTCTCCTATACGGCAGTGAAATGTGGACGATGTACCGTCGGGATGTGCGATATCTCGAGCGGTTCCATCAGCAGTGTTTGCGACGAATTTTGCGCATCGGTTGGGGCGACAGAGTTGCAGACACGGAAGTGTTGAGCCGAAGTGGGATGTATGCAGTGGACTGCATACTTTTACTGAGACACCTGAGATGGCTCGGTCATGTGTGGCGTATGGATTCGACTCGGATACCGAAACAGTTCTTATACAGTCAGCTGAGTATTGGGAAGCGGCACATGGGGAAACCAAAGCTACGTTACCAGGACATGATCAAAGTGAGCCTCACACGATCTAATCTTGATTGCAGATCATGGGAATCGAAAGCGGTTAATCATCGCGTATGGCGCCATCTCATCACGAAGGCAGTTGCTGAAGTGCGGGAGAAAGACCTCATGCATGCAGAGAAGAAGCGGCAAGCACCGATGGATTGTACTCCATCGACATCGAGTGCATGGTGCTGTAGCACATGCGGTCGCGAGTGCCTGAGTCAGGCAGGCTTAGTGAGCCATGAGCGAGGCCACACGAGACTACTACCGAAGCGCCGACGGGTTCTGCAGAGAACGTAGGCAGAACCGGCGCAGCGTTTGTAGGTACGCTGCATTCGATTTACTAACCGCGTGCTTACATGCTATGTCCATTTATTTCAGGTGATGGGTTTTCAATTCTGCCCTAATGCTTTTCTTTCCCATATAAATGCCTAGTTATACTCTCTTCTATACACCTGCACACGTCGCTTAAGTCACTTGTAGTTATTTCGATAACATTTTCGTGTTTGTAGCATTTCCGTAAAATAAACCTCCTGACTTCGTGAATTTACCTCGTATTCTTTTGTAAACAACTTATTTCATATGCTCACTAATTTAAGATTTATGTCACCGTTTGCTTGCGTGCTGTCTGTTTATTTCAGGTGGTGGGTTTTCAATTTTGTCCCAATGGTTTGCTTTCTCATATAAATGTCTACCTGTACTGTCTTCTATAAACTTGCACAAGTCACTTAAGCCAATTCTAGTCCTTTTAGAAAACCTTTTTGTGTTCGTGGCATTTCCGTAAAGTATACTTTCTGACCTCGTGAACTTATCTCGCATTCTTCTGTAAACAATTTACTTCAGATGCTCATTACTTCAAGATATATGTTTCCCTTTCCTTATGCATTACTCGATTTAATTTCTTTGTTATTTTTCTCTCAAGTGATTGGCTGTTGCTTGATATCCACGGTGAGGCTGCACTTGATGTGTGTGTTGACAAGGTGCCTACCTGTCTATTACCCACTACCTCGTCCATACTGGCTCCAGGAGACAGTTGGTCGTTGCTGGAGGGGACAGGGTGCACGGTCCTTGTGGCCGTGTTAGGATCAAAGAGTGGTTCCATGCACTCAGTGTGGAGCGGACTACGGTCCAGCCACCGCCTTGTGTGCGATTGATTCCCAAATACAGGGTGCTTGTGTTTGCCTGTGAAGGAGTGTGGGCCGGCTCCGTTGATGAAACGTGGCTCCCATCCACATGCCTCCCGGTCTTATTCCTCCGGGTTTACACTGGATATGGGGTGTGTGGTTGGAGCTGTGGGTGGTGCAGCGTAAATCACCCATGGTCCCTCTGTAGGCTCAGGCGTCCTGTCGCTGGCCACAGTGACAGGCAAATCCGAAACCGGACGCCGCCAAGCAGTTTGTCCTTGTAATTGTGCTGCTCCATTCTTGAAGGTGTGATATTGTCGGCAATGTGCGAGTAGAAGATTGGTGTCCGTGGGTTGGAAAGGATTATCCGGATATCCACGGGGTAGTGACTTTATTTTGTGGCGAGTCACGACCGCCACGTCACAGTGTTGTTAAGCAGACATTTGTGGCTTTTTATAGAGATAATGCTTGCCAGGCGAAAACCCATCACGTCCTGGAACACTGTCGACGAAGTATTTGCTGGAACGGGTTAAACCCAAACCACCTAGCCGGCACCAAGAGGTTGTTCCGCTAGCACTATGGTTTTATACCAGGTTCCGTATGTCACCGGGGCTGTACGGCAGCTAAGCATCAGTTCAAATGGCTGATGCACTGGATAAGGGATAAATCCCGAAGTCACATTAGAAGTTGCGCGTGCTGGAAATGCTTAGATATAACAGGTAAGCTACAAAGAAAACGGCTTATTTACTAATTATCTCAAGCTGATGCACAAGCAGTTTCAGGGAACCTTGAGAAAGAAATGAGGGCAGAGTCATGCACCATACCACTAGGCGGTTCAACGTATCGTTTAACATTCGGAGTGGTTCCTGCTCCGTGTTATAACGCCAGACTTGAGATTATAAAGTCCGTTGCGATCGAGGGAATGGGCACAATGAACGCCGATATCAAAGAATAACCGAATATGGGCGCGACTCGAGTGGGAGCTTAGCACACTTCAGAAGACAAGCGATCGATGAAGGTTGCACCGCCAGCAACTGAGTGTGTATCGTCGTCCGCGCTCAAGCGAGCGGTGCGACGTGTGATGAGGCGTCCGTCGACTAAATAGGGTGAATGAGCGGCAAGCAGACACCAGCTAATTTTCCTCGGACATTACGTCAAACAAGATCACAAAACCCGTGTTTGCTGCAGGACAGCAAGCAATTTAATGCTACTAGCTTTGTGTATATGTCACATAATAAGCCCCACATTGTCATATTATCAGGCGGACAGTCAATCAAGCCACAGGCTGTCATTAAAAGTCAATTGGGGCCATCTGTGGTATAGGAGACACGTGGTGGTTGTAACTATATTCACCTGTGGGACCTGCAATACCGAAATTATAACCAATTAAAGTAGGATCAGGCAGGACAAAGGGTTTGTTTGAGTCATCCGACACCAAAAAAGGCGTGCAAAAACCTCCTAAGTAAGATAGCACCTACCTGCCACGAACGATAAGGTTGAAAGCGACCAGGACCCATGGGAAGTACATTGCTTTGAACTGCATACCAAACCAGAACTGGATGATTACGCTCCTATTCAACTGGCTCCATATGTATATGACAGTTAGAACCATCGGCTCCAACAAAAACTGGAACGACAAGTATGCATCAGAGAAGCATGTAAATGGTCAACATGGCACACGTTTAAAAACGAGCACGAAAGAGTACTTTGAGGAGAACATTAACTATGAAAGATTTGGAATAAACAGAACAAAACGGACGAAAATGTGCTCAATTTGTCTTCGATCAGAGATGCTTTCAATACAGTGGTCTTTACCACGATAACAAATAACGGACTGCGAGTGCATCAAAATTACCTCATCAACACGTCAGTGACAACTTCGCATTCACTCCTGCTTCTTCAACTACGAGTCGCCTAGGCTGATGATTTCATCAATACACAACATTCACTAAGCCAGTTTTGTTGATGTAACTTGGAAATCCCCATGTAAGTTAATGAGAACAACGAGATCGGTTGGTGAGCAATTGCTTTCAATGATTCATCCTCAGACCATTACAATCATATATAGGGCTAAAAAAGTAAAATCGACCCAATTAATATAAGCAACAGAGGAAAAATCGAAACGAGTTAATTACATGTTACGGAGTTTGACCTAATGCCATTTACCTAAGTATCCCGTTTTCGCGGGCCAGGAAAGCTGAAGAGCCTGGACTAGCTTCTTTTATGAGCATAATGACGGCTGAAATAATCGGATGCAAATCGCTTCGGTCGTCGCAAGTGTAGGAAGACGACCTTCCGATCGGTGCGGTGGAATGTTCTATACTACTCTAAAGGCACGCTTTAGATTCACCATTAGACTGTTTGTCAAGACTACAATTGACGGACCGATTAGCATCACCGCGCAAAACACGACTGATATAAGAAGGGGGAACGTTTAGAATCACAGGCCAGAATTGATATTTCGACTGTTTATTGTAACGGTTTGGTTATGACGAAGTCTATCACAGAGAATTACTTACCCGAGAGCTACGAACGCTAAGGGACATGTCAGCCTCGAAGCAATTACAATATAAACAAAAATGACGAAGAGTGTGGAATCGCAAGTAGCTCTAGAAGCCGAAAAAAATCCCAGCTTTCTGGTGTTAATGAAAAGTTGTGCAGGTGATACGAAGCAGCAGTCATTCGGGAACTGATACAAGTTAGTTATACCAGTGATTAAAAGAGGGTAAGAGTGTACTAGGCAAGGACACAAACATCTAACATTTTTATTCCATTATTTTGAACCCAAGAGATCAACGGAAAAATCTGCGTCAAACTTACGTAGAAAGGAGCCATGAAACCAACAATCTATAGTAGTGAATAAAGTAGTTAAGTTTCATAGTTGTGCCCGGTAAGATCCAAGACTCGAAAACGTTATGCAGTAACCCATCTTACATTGCAGATGAGGTACCTCGTGAACGAAGGAGATAAATGTAATTCTACGGAAGCAAACTAAATAAAAACATAATAACAGAGGTGAATGCAAAAGCCCAGTCAACTCTGTGAATATATACAAACAAAATAAAGGAATGTGCCGTGATGCGACGATGCGTAAAAATGTTAGCGAACCAGTAGCATACTGTATGTCACGTAGCAGAAGTAGGAGCAAATGTCGATGGCACAGCTGCTTATTTGTCAGTCAAACCGTTCGCATAGCAGGTCAAAAGTTAAAAAGGTTTCGTCATCAATCGAGCTGACAACACTAGTTAATGTGTGATGGAAAGCTGGTTGATCTCGATTATGCAAGCGATGTTCCATAGAACAACAGATAGCAGTGAATATGTTGCGTTGACTTGGGCACGTACTACGTATGCCCGGTAACTGCTTACCGACGTATGGTGGTGCAAGACCCAAGGTGGGCAAAAGTTGACTTATCAGGTGGAAATGAAGTTACTGACTACAAAGCTGGGCGCTGTTGGCCCGTCTCGTCTTTCAGGCTGTGGGGCCCACGGGACCCAGCTAGTGCTCCGCTCAAGACGTTACATGACGGCTCGCGGTGGTGCGTCTGCTGCCGTCTACTTGTTTAATGTGTATGGTGCTGACATAGCTGCGGGGTAATGGTTGATTATGACGCGGGGCCGTGAAAGCCGCAAGGAAGCTGTCTTAAGAACCCTAATCATTCTCCTGTCTAGGCCTGGGCACCCTGACAGTATCCTATCCACGTAATACAATGAATCTATCACTAAACGATTTCCTAATGCTCTGGCCACCGCAGAGGATAATCAATGGTGCATGGAGCAGGGTGGATAGTTTTATAATCTTCCCACTAAACGCGATTCCGAAATTGGCACTTTACTCCTCCACAAAATTTCTAGCCCAACAGAAGGAAAAGGCAGAACACCAATGACCTTGACAAAATGACGTGTTAACCGCCGTCAACAAACACTGTACAACTACCGCGGACCTTGGCTATATTTATAGGTCCCTTACTGACCTTCGACTTCTGGGATTGGAAAGTCAACTACCAAAGTTAGTGGTTCCCCGTAGCTTTGGCCGAGATGTCAGATGGTTGGTGGCCACGTGCTGAACTTAGAACATTCCGGAACGCTCGAAATCGATGCGAGAATCGTTAATAATAGAGTAATCACTAAAAGAGTGGATTTTCCAGGTAATGTTTACTTTCTCCCGGACACCTCCCCTCCTGAGATATCGTCCGAGGTATACGATGGAAGCTTAGGACTCATTTGTAATCTTCATGTTGGTCCATCTCCTTGGCAGAAGTGCCCGAGAACTGGGGTCCGATGTCTTTGGTCTGGATTCCTTGCTCAAATGTGAGCAGTCGTCCGCGACTTCCTTCGGCCAGTTGAAGCTTTCCACCAATAAGTCAAACGGGAAAGCGGTAGGCCCTGCTTGTTCTGGTTGGCACAATGTTGGGCGTAACTGGTTTGCATGCCGTGCTCAGATCTGTGCGCCCACGATCACGTCATACATGACATTTCCGTGCTTGTTTTTGACCACCCTTGGTGTCCACTTCGCGTGGCTTTCCCGATAGTCACGTACTAGCACTTTCTATTCAAGTGAAAACGATCGTTTCTTTGCTTCATGCCGCCGGTTAAATTCTGCTCCATTCTGCGGTCTCTTTCACCAACCAAGGATTCCGAGCGCGGTCGGATGGCGTCGAAAGGCATGCGGAGCTTCCGGTTTATCACAGTCTGTGCTGGAGAAACTCCGTCCGGCGCTTGTGGATTCGGTGTTGATCGGTAGAGGAAAAGGAACCGGTCAACCCCCTCCTCTATACATCCCTCCCCATTTGATTTGTGAAGAGCTCACTTGAACGTATGGACAAACCTTGCTGCGTGGCCATTCGACTGTGGGGGAAACGGCGGCGAGCGAATGTACTGGACGGCGCATTGCCTGCCGAACTCCGTAAAAACCGCCGAAGTGAATTGTGTGGCAGTATCAGTTACAATTGTCTCAAGACAGCCGAATCTGTTGAAGGTTTGGCGCAGTTTTGATACAGGGGCATTGGTGGTTGTGCTACCCATGAGGCCACTTGCTGTGAGTCGACTATAATGAGGAAAGCTCGGCCGTTGATTGGTCCTGCAAAGTCGACATGGATGCGGTATCATGGGCAATGGGTACTATGGGCAATGCTTCTTTCTTGATCTGGCTGTAATTCCTCTCGGCCTTCGTAAATTTTCTGGCGACATGGGCGATTGCTTTCTAAGATCCATCGGAGTAGTTGTGTGAAATTACTACGCCAATCCCATGGCTTGATGCATCTGTGGTTAAGACAATCTCTTTGGAGGGATCAAAACCAGCCAAAAGTAAATGTGAGGACAGCAATTTCTTGACCCGTTCGAAAACATTCTGGCATCCTAATGTCCAGTTCCAAGTTTGGCCTTTGGTTAGTAGCTTATTTACGGGGGCACGAAGGCGGTGCATTTCAGGCAACGATGCGCTATAGTGGCTGATGAGCCCACAATAGGAACGCAAGAACTGTAGATCTGTTGATAGAGGCACTTTTCTAATGGCTTCGACGTTTTCAAGATCTGGTCGAGGTCCATCCTTTTCAAGGATAAAGCGGAGTTACTTGATGATCGGCGTGAAAAATGTGCATTTATCCTCACGGATACGGAAACCGTACGACTGTATACATCCAAGCACTTCATCCAGGCTGTTAACTAGCTCTTCCGAAGTTCGACCCATCACTATGATCTCATGCAGATATGCAGCGGCTCCAGAAACGCCCGCTAGCGTGGTATCCATCAAGTATTGGGAAATGACTGACGCTTTTTTTACACCAAAGAGCAAGCGGTTGTATTGGAATAGCTCACGATGAGTGTTGATCGTCAACAACTCCCTCGAGACTTAGTCAACATCCACTTGAAGGTAAGCATCGGAGAGATCGAGCTTAGCAAAGTACTTACCACCCTTCAGTTTTGCAAAGATAAGTCCCGGTACGGGTAATAGTGGTCGTCCAACGCGGCATTGAGTCCAGTTGAGAATTCAGCGCAGACGCGTACTTTGCCATTTGCCCTCTTACCTGCGATGATAGGTGCGGCCCATGATGAGTAATTGACGGCTGTGATGACTCCAGCACGTTCCAGTCGATCGAGTTCATGACCAACGGTTGACATAGCTTCATATGGTATCGGACTGAAATGTAGCACGTTCCCGACCCTTCCATACCTTTGAAAGCAATCTTGCAAGTAAGTTGGCCCACTGAGTTTAAAACACCACCGGATGTATTATGTGCAATTTCTGAGACTCGAGCATCTTTGACCTTTTTATGTGATTCCATGTGTTCCTGGAATTAATCGCGATGTCCGAGGCCGCGTCGAATTGCAGTTCCGTTGGGATCCCATTGATCAACACGCTGACAAATAGTCGTCTCGGTTTACACTCACGTTGGAATGCGACAACTATGGACAGATAGTATGCGCCATCCTTATTAGAATTCCCTTTTCGATAAAATTGCTTCACGTTCTTCGGCGGGACCTGAATGCAGAATTCCTCTTTATACCTACGCACGTTTGACAAATATGACTTTGAACGGAGTAAAGCGAACAAAATGCCATTCGCCGCATGACCAGCATGCTGTGGGCGGTTTGTTCGTAGACCTCTTGAAGGGTTTGCTTGGGTTTGCAGTTCTGGCCCTTTTCACGAAGTGCACGGTATCTGGTGGTGCAAGACCATTCCGTTCGACCAGGGCAGTGTCGTGTTTTAGGGCAAGCAGCCGTTTACATTCGCTTACAAGGGCCTTCAATGTTAGATCAGGATCCTGATCAAGCTTAGCTAAAAGCCGTGTGCAGGTCTCAGCATCACTGGGGGATTGTTGAGCGCTGACGTAAATGAGACACTTAAACTGATCGTCCGTTAAAGAGTGTAGTTTGAAACGTTCATACTCACGGTTAATCATGTCTGCTAGGGCCCCAAAGTCGTCCGAGTGCCGTTTGACAATTTTCTGGCATTGATAGCGGATACTAAACAAGGATACTGACTCACCAAAATTTGCTTCAGCTGCGACACCACTTCGTCAAATGTCAGAGCCTTCGGCTCTTTCGGCAGAATGTAGTCTATGAACCTTGAATGTTCACTTGTTCCGAGCTTGCAGAGTAGCTATCGCACCTTCCAGGAGTCGTCCTGACGAATGAAGTCCGTCCGGCACATGTCTTCCCAGCGTTTAAACCACACTTCGAATGTGCATCCAGAATTCACGTCACAATTGAATTCAGTGATGGCATTAGTGAGAAGACCAACAGAACTTACCTGCATGCCCGCGTCGTTGCTCCTGTTGTCTGCAAACTCAAGCATTGTGTCGGACTTTCGATCGTTTTCATTCGTGCCTTCATTTGAGATTGCTGTTGGGAAAGCAGGTTTTGAAATTGTTCAGCAAAAAAGTTCGGCATATTTCCAAGTTCCTCAGTCTCCATTTGTTATAATCTTCTCATTAGAGGCGGTTTCGACATTGGCACTTTACTGCTCCACAAAATATAGGGGTTTGGATGCTACTGCTCAAGCCATCCCATCTTCCTACTCCTCCTCTTACGCTTTTTCACCCTTATCGTCCCGTTTCAGCATCCCTCTTATCCCCCTTGTTTTCAACCGCCCAATTCTTGGCCCTCCACCTTGCTTTGATAGGCGTTTACCTTCTAGTTTCAAATCACATGTGAACGCAGAGCGTCATTCCTGCCTTGTCAACAAGCCCATGTCCAAGCCAAGTTCATTGGCTTCCATTTGGAGCTCACGATCATGCTATAGATTGGTATGCCTCAATGTACGCACATTGCTACAGATCGGTCAACAGGCAACACTTGCCCGAACATCAGAGACCCTCTCGATCGATATCTGCTGCTTATCGGAGA